TGCTTCTCCCTCTGACCCTCCTCCCTCTCATGCTCTCTCTATCTCATTCTCTCTCTCAAATAAATAAATAAAATCTTTAAAAAAAATAAAATAAAATAAAATGACAAGTAGGTATTTATTCAAGTTCTCTTTCATGGTGCCATGTTTTAACATCTGATTAAAATACCTGTGATACACATTATTGGACTTTGGACTTTTGGAGGCATTGTCGTGTTTATAGTTGATGAGAAGATCCTGGCTTTAAAGAGTATTCTTTGTTAAAGAAATGCCTTAAAAATAGTTTGATGGATATGGAATGTTAAGTTTTGTTTTTGTTTTAGATTGATATTTTGTTTGCAAGACTAGCACTGCAGACTATTCCAGAAGACTTGGACTTACGAGATGACAGTCTGCTTAAGAATTTAGATATAAGATGCATAAGAAGTCTTAACGGTATGTTAAAACCTACTTCCATTTGCATAGTAGCAGTTTTTGTCAAATATGAAATAGTTTTTAACTCAGATTTTATAATGGAGCTTTTTATAGCCACGCTGTTTACCCATAGTCAAATAAAATATGCTTTACTTAATAGTTAAGACTGCAGAGGGGTATATGGTAATTTATTTTACTCACCAGTATCTTGCACTGTTATTTCTTTTCTTCCTGGGACATTTAAAGACTAACATTTGTGCTCTATTACTAGTGGTTTAGGCTTCATGGCATAACCCTAATTAATTGTGATCATGATATCCTTTGTAACCTTTTCAGCTGTTGTGTTTAAAGGGGTTACTTTTGAACACTCTTGTATTTACATTGCTGTTGCCGTGCTCTGGCAAGAACAATTCTTGCAAACTTAAGTGGATTAAACCCTTGTCAGTATATCCTGACTGGAAGAAGTTTTAATTATATGATGAAAGTTTGAGATCAGGCAGATTACAGATTCTTTGTGATATATTTGTGATAGGAGATAAAAATTTTAGATTTTTTATTTGCGATGAGTTCTAGATTTTTTATTTGCCTTTTTATTCAATTAATGTTACTGATCCTATGAAATAAGTTCTTATTTAAGTTTGACATCAATCTTAGAAAATTGAAAAGAAATATTATCATTAAACTTTTGATGGTTTAACGTTCTGTTTTTTCACTCCCTGTTAATCAGGTTGCAGGGTAACCGATGAAATTTTACATCTAGTACCAAACATTGACAACTTCAGGTTAACTCTGAGAGCTATCAAACTGTGGGCCAAACGTGAGTTCAGAATTTGTTGGCTAGCTTATTAAAAATGTTTCAACTTTTGTTCAACACTAACTTTTCTTTTTGCTTTTCCCTTATCAACAGGCCACAACATCTATTCCAATATATTAGGTTTCCTCGGTGGTGTTTCCTGGGCTATGCTAGTAGCAAGAACTTGCCAGCTTTATCCAAATGCAATAGCATCAACTCTTGTACATAAATTTTTCTTGGTATTTTCTAAATGGTATGTGTTTAGATTATATTAAAATAAAATTGATTGTAGACACTGAAGTTTAGTCTTATTTCTATGACATTTCTGCAGCTGGTTTCAGATTCAAATTTTAGCTCATGATGTAGCCATTTAGGTAGCTTTGGGGAGATCATGTTGTGTATAAAATGGCAAACCTAAATTCCTTTCCTTTTCCCTAGCTTTCCCAGGATAGTAAGGCAGGTGCTTTTTTGTGCTTCCTTATCCTCTAAATAAACTCTGAATTTTAGCTGTCATGTCTGCTAAAATCCAATGAACTTATATCAGTTTTAGGAAGTTTGGATAAAACTTATATATACCACTTCTTACGCTCTTTGGATTTTTCCAAATCTACAGGTCATTAGTTTCTTGGAATTATTTTTTTGCTTTCAGCTGCCCATTTATCTTTGGTAAAATATTAAAAATATATATAAAAAGCTTTTAAGAATAACTATAAATGTGTAAAAAAATAGCAATTTTGTCATCCCTTTGAGGTCAGTCATTAACCCAGGAGAGTTTGTTTTTTAAAGCTTCCTCATTTCAGCATGTTCACATTTGTCAATCATTATTTAAGAAAAGTAAGATAAAAAATTATTGCCAATTCATATTTGCTTTGGCCTAAAAGGTTTCTTGGTTTTTAATCAAATTGATCTTAGAGATTTGTCTTCCCGCTCTGTACCTGCCAACCCCTGTACCTCCTCCTCTGCAAAAATAGTTTTTTTAGTTATTTTATACAAATTTAAATTACTGGAAATAATTTTATAATTTAGAACTGTGCCCCACTTTTCAGTACACATTCTGTTATTTACAGATTTGATAGTGCTTAATCGTAATCAGTTTTGATGAGATTGACTAAAGAATGTCAGAATTTCTGTAATGCTACACATACATAGCAAATAATATTTCTAAGAAGCTAAGCTTGCTACTAAGGATGGCAAATATTTTCCAATTTTTAATCTCTTCCATAAAAGACTGAGGTAGCTAACTTGTAGAATGCGTCTTGAAAACAATGTTATTCACGTCACAAAGTTTCATCACACATACTCATGTTAGAATCTTTAGGTTGTGAGATAAAATTTTCCTAATCAGTCTCTAATTATTCATATTCCTTTGCCTAAATGAGTTAACTTTTTCACCCTCACTTGTCTTTGGATGTAGCCAGTGTAAGAATAGGATTTTTGTCTTTCAAGAAGGGTTTATCCTGTTGAAGGTTGAGGTGAACACATCGGATGTCTTGGGATAGTACTTTTTTATTTAAATAGTGCTTTATCAGTTCTTTGAGAGGCAGAGAAGATGTGTGACTTACCAGCCTGAGAAAGCTGCCAAATGGTTTAAGTTAATTTCATAGTTAGAGGAAAAGTACTTCGAGTTGTCTTAACATCAACAGATAGGAATAAAATATTATATATATCAAGAGGGCAAAATGAATGAAGAAGGCTCACATTCACGAATGCTGTATGTTTAACAAAATACGTTTAGATGGTAATATCCAATAGTCTTATCAAGTGCTACAATCTTTTTAAACAGGGAATGGCCAAATCCAGTGCTATTGAAACAGCCTGAAGAATGCAATCTTAATTTGCCTGTATGGGACCCAAGGGTTAGTGTATTATTTTTTCCCCTACAAATTCGCACTGTGCAATAACAAGTAAAAATCATCTGCATAATCTTCAGGGAGACTTCCCATCCTTTTATGTATGAGTGGACATGTCCGTATTACACTTTCTTTTAGATAACCTCAACTATAATTGTCCTCTGATGTGAGAAGCATAATTATGTACCCTGTAAACTCCTTTTAATTGTACATAGTTTATAATATCAAGTTCACTAACATTTTAATTTATTCTATATAGAACTACCTTGTAAGTCAAAGTTTGTGTGGGCATTTGTGCTTAAAAAAAAAAAATAAAAGGATACTCAAAATCCCTGTATTTTTTTATTTGATCTAAATATTCTGTTAAAATTGGGTTGTGGTAGGAAAACTGTTTAACGTTTACATGTGGCAGATAACTTCTAAGCAGTATCACTCTAATTACTATGATGTAATTGTAAAAATTGGTTTGGATATTTCAGATTACAAAAACCTGGTTGGGATAAAAGAAGAGCTTCTGTTCCGCTTTTTGGGAAGTTACAACCTTTACCGCTTACTCAGTTTAAATGTTACCAACATGCGCTTTATTAATTGATAAAAGAAATACAGGTTTCAGTAAGGCTTTTTTTAGGTCTTTAAAATTCTATTTTTCTATTAGTTTCCTATCTTACTGCAATATTGAAAATTAAGTCAGTTTTAAGTCTGTTAATTACATCAAGCTGTCTGTTTTCAAGTTTTCCAAGCGTCAGGCATTTAATTTTGGAGGGATTTGAATTTACAGTTTCCTTCGTGGAAATATGTCACTTATCATTAGTATATAGGTTAAGTTATTAAATCATTTCATTTTTTCTTAAAATAACACGGATAATATAGCCTCAGCATGTGTTAAGAAGCTTATACTTCCTATAAGTCAATGGTATATTAAAAACTTTGTTTCCATCTTGTTTAAAATTTGTTTTGCACAGAACACTATTTAGTATGACATTTCTGAAAAGTGTAATTGTGTGTGCATCCCCATTTCTGTTGTTGAAAAAAGAAAAACTAAACATCAATAGATGCTCCACTAGAACCTTTTTTGCTTGACAGGCACACTATTTCTAGTAAGGTTGCCAAAATAGTCATGCCCAAATGATCAAATCTTTAGACCAAATCTCTGATTCTGTGAAGAATTCCTATAAAAACAATGTCGCCTTACATGGTTTTTCTTTCTCAACTCCAGCTATGAATGAAATAAAATTTAATCATTGGTTCAGTTTAACAAGGGGTAAAAAGTCCAAGTATCTGTTGCATATGTACTTGAAGAAACTGATTGGCTGTTGTTGTATGTAGGTAAACCCCAGTGATAGGTACCATCTTATGCCTATAATTACACCAGCATACCCACAACAGAACTCCACGTACAATGTGTCCGTTTCAACACGGATGGTCATGGTTGAGGAGTTTAAACAAGGTAAGTGTTTATCCTTATGCTCTCCTTTATACACGAAGGATCTACATACCATTGTAGACCCAGTAGTTGGCTATGCAGTTTAAAATGAAGAAAGCATTCACTGAAGTGGGTTTTGGTGTTTATTGATTGATTACAGTATGTATTTGAGAATTGACTTGAAAAACTCAGTTTGAGGCAAAGTATTTTTGTTATCTGCTAGAAAGCTAATCAGTTTAAAGCTGTCCCCTTAGCTGGCCCTTTATGGGCTGCCTTAGTGCTATACAGTTGCCATGTAAAGTTTTAAAATGCTACCAGTTTGTCTCCACTGGGTGCCCTGAGAGATGCTTTTAGCAAGCTATATACTTGAAAAGAGCTTTGAGCAGGATTGGGGCCAAAGTGCCTATTATTTTGGAAGAACCTCTAAACTTTCTGAATCCCAGTAGTACTGTTCTAATTTCATTGCCAAAAACGGTCTTTGAGGGAAGTAGCTGAAACAGGATTATTTGATTTGATTGATAATAGTCATGGAAACAAATAGCTGTACCACTACCAACATCAAACTCAGGAGTGTAAAATTCTTTTCTGTGGTCTGAAGAGGCTCTTCATGGGAGAATGTTGCTTAGAAACATCAGGAAGCTTGTTTTTAGAAAGGCAAGACTTAGAGCTTATGGGAAATCTTTCTTTCTTGGTTAACTACAGTGCTTAAGTTTTTGGAGAGAGTCATCCTATGAACATGGTATTTAGAATAATGGTAATTTACCAGAAATCTGGCTCTCAGAAACTCCAGCTTTTTGAAAAGTGTGTATGTATGTAAAAATCTCTGTGCTCTAAAGTCATAGGCTGAAATTGCTATTTGTTAAAATTAATGATTTTAGGATTATAGTGAATGCATGTGGTATGTTTAAGATCTTTGAAATTCTAGATTGTTAGACTGAAGCATGCCAACATTTTAATATGTTTTTAATTTAGGTCTTGCTATCACAGATGAAATTTTGCTGAGTAAGGCAGAGTGGTCCAAACTTTTTGAAGCTCCAAACTTCTTTCAAAAGTACAAGTATGTATTTTAAGGCATGTCAGACATGTTGCTCTCTTAAGTAATGGTTTAATGGTAGCATATGTGACATCTCCTCTTGCTAGACTAATGTAGTTTTTAATTTTCCTTTAAACATCTTCCGTAGAATTTTCCTTCCTGGCACAGAGGGTGTACTGGTTTTAGTAAACCCTTTCTTTTCTCTTTGTTGCGGTGAAGTGTAGCCCCTGTAGTTTGCTGCCTGGTGTAACCGAACTCCTACGTTTGTAGCAACATCACTTCTGTAGGCGTCTTAAGTCGTCACCAGAACTCTCAAGCCATATGCCTTGGCACAGGAGTGAGCAGTTAAAATCTGTAGTTACTGTTCTCTCTTAGGAAACGAAGTATTTTCAGCCAGTTCTGGAAACTTACTGTTGAGATTCCATATAACCATAGGCAGAGCTTATAAAATGTCAACATAGAGTCAGTAAAGTGTTTCCAATAGTTCTAGCACATGATTGGCCTACCATTTTCCCCTAATGTTAATAAAGCCCCTTCAGATATTTCTTGGAATCTAAGTGGGTGTAATATTTTTTACTACTGGTTTTAATATAATGATTTAATACCTTAGTACAGGTTAAATGCCTGATTGTGTTGGTTTTGATGACAATTGTAAGTTATAATAAATCTTACTTTAAAAAAAAAAAACGGACTTGCACTTTTATTTGCCCTGAGCTGAAAACTTGCCAAAGTCCCACTTAAATTTTTTTTTCTTTAATGCTTGAAACTTTCCTGACCATTTGATCTTGTGTTGGATTGTGTTTTGTAATAATCTAAGCAAGATTGCTTTATGCTATTTCCCCAATTAAAAACAAGAATGATGACCTTCATGATGTCTCTGTGTTTTGTTTCTGTACCTTTTGCATGAAAAAGCAATATGGAGCCAGCTTAATTGTTGTGTTCTGGGAGCACTGTGCTGTCAGTTAATATTTAAATAGCTTAACATTGAATGCTCTTGTTTATTACTTAACTCCCCGTAAGTTATGCTTTTCCATTTGGCAGATAATTTATTTTCTGTTTTTTATTTTAACCGATGTTGAGGAAGTACCTTTGCACATTTAAACTAATAAAACATATATTCTGATATTTAAAAAAAAACTACAGCATCAAAGTACATAATTGCTTGTATGGAGAATAAGGAAGAAACTGGTTTTATAGAAAAATATCAGCATCTCTTAATCCCTGAGAACCAAAGACTAAGCTAGATTCACTCTTTTTCCTGTCTCACTTCCTCATAGGACTAAGGTGGGTAGAATGAAGTTCTTGAAAGTACTTAAGTGGCTTCCTTCACTTGAAGAAAGATTAATTGTTGAAATTGAAACTTTGATAGTGTCATCTATTTGAGTAAATTTGCATTACTAGAACTTCCGAAGGTTTTTTTTTTTTTAAGCTTGCTTAATCTTTTGTCTTTTAGAAGTTTTAAGCTATCCTTTATGCCAAATAGTACCTATAAGGTCTTCGGTGGACTGAGTCAAAGATCATAGATTATTGTCTTTCCTGAATTCTCTTGAAACAAATCATTGTAGATGATCAAAAACGACTTCAAGCATGATTAGGTATGAGGAGGTAGCAACAAATAGAGGAAATTATATCAGAAAAATTTAAGTTTTAGCTGTGAGTCCTGAGAAAACAGATTTGAAAACATGACAATAATGGGCTAGTTTTATCTATACCGAATCCTATTTATATTTTTAACTTCTCCAGAAGTTTTCCTCTTTATAATATCTGGTGCTTACTATCATTAGAATGTAGAGATAGTCACAGGTTTGAATTTTTCTTTTAACATGTCACATGTAATACTCCCAAAATTGGCTGTACAACTGAATTGAAATGCTTCATTTTCTCTTGAGTCAAAGTTGGTTAAGCCTTATTTGAAGTATATCCTGAAAGTAGTGCCATTTGTTATGTATTGGATTTTAAAAAATTTTGATGTACCTGCCTGTCATTCTTGGAAGGGAGGGAAGCATGGGGTAAATTTCATTTTCTTAAAAAGCAGAAAAGTCCTCTAACAGAAGATCTCAGTGTTCCTTAAGAAAAAGGTGTAACATTGCTTTGTGCAATTTTAAATAACTATAAGAAGACATTCTTCATGTTTTTCCTTTAAGATAATTCGAGTTGACACGTAGCAATAAAGTAAATCATCATTGACATAGGAAATGTGAATACTTAGGTCAGGTATTCCATTTTACTAGGAAAAGAGGAAGGAAAGGTAATAGCAAGAGGCCAGCATGTTCTCTAAGGTGTAAGATTAATTATAATTTCAAGGAGTATGTGTGAATAGAATAATTTAGCCTTAAAATGTTTTAAAAACTTAATAAAATACTGAACTTTAACTCTTGGTCCTGAGTTACTTAAAGATGGAATTATAAGGATTTTTCTCTAAGATAATTAGATTTTTAGTGAACATATCTGAGCTATAATCTACCCAGGTAAAATATTAATGTGATGAAATGGCCAGGAAACCTACTTATATACTGTTTTCGGGGGGTAAATAGTTTTTAGGTAATAAAAGCAACTAAATTGTTCTTAGGAATTTTTAAATAGGTTTTAATTCATTGGGGATACATTTTTATAGTAAAATTTTTTATTGGAAGCTGGAAATCTTTAAATTTGGGGAAGAGTTAATGACTATTGCATTAAGACTTCAAAGTGTCTCCTGAAGGCATTTGAATATCTTGAGCAAATAAATGATGGTGGCAGTTGGAAATTGGAGATCACATTCTTTGGGGCAGCAATAAAAAATATAGGTAGTCTAAATTTAGAAATACTTCTTTTGGTCTCTCTGTTTTCTGATAGGGATCTTAGGAATTGAATACTAGTTCTGGTTTTTAAAATTTAACAAACTCGGTATTTTGGTTTCAGTTTCTTAGCTGGATGAGTATAAATGGATTCCGTTTTATAAATGGATTCCTAATGGCAGGTTATTTCTATTAAGCTTAATTACTGTATTTTATATCTCCTTTTTTTGCTTAAATTTGCTTAAATGTGGCTGAGTAAAGGACATAACCACGCCCCCCAGGCTCCCCTCATTGCAATAAGTGCCAAAGTTGAACTTTTTAAACTTCAAAACTTTAAACTTTGAATTCCAACAAAATTATGTTCAAATGGATTGTATGTTTTGCCTTCGTAAATAGAGAACATTTGTGCATCATTTGTTGAAGACTCAGGTGGTAATTAAGAACATCCATTTTAATAGTGTGGTAAAAGAGTAGAGACTGAGAGTTTGATCCCTCTCCTAGGTGATTGCAGACAACTTCGCTTTTTTGTTTTTGTGTACATGCCTGCTTTTTATAGTTTGTTGTCTCCTGTTGGAAGTTGTTACACTTCTGTCCAGAGAGTTCTTCCTCCATCTTCTCCTCCCCCCCCTTCCCTCCCCCCCCGCCCATTTCCAATCTCCCAGGGACTGGAAATCAGGTTACTGAGCTTGTTAGGATTTTGGTGCATTTAAAAGAATTTAAGGGCGCTCAGAGTGGGTTTCTGTGTATGTAAAATGCATGAGCTTTTAGTGCTTTTATGTGACTTTTATTTATTTGAGCCATCTGTTTGTTCTGTATATTTGGTTTGATCCAAATAATGCTGAACAAATTTAAACTGGTGGTAAAGGAAGTATTGGTCTGTATGGATTTGAGCTGCATATTCACATATCTGTCTACGTGTTTTCATATTTATACATATTACCTCTGTTGCCGTAAGTTGATTAAGTCCTTGAAGTTAGCTCATTTGAGCTTCACTTTTCCCCTGCCAGTAAGAGGCATTATCCTATATTACAGATGACGTATATATACAAGTCTCATACCTGGGTTACATAGTTACGAAGAATCATAACCATTTTTCAGATACTTAATGAGCATAAATAGTAAGTAATCAAATGGAATAGTTTAAGGAAGAATGGTTTAAAATGCTTTAACTTGCCAAATTTTCACTGTCCCTTGCCTAAATATCTTCTGACTCTTTTTTTTTGATGGCTAATTTAAACTGGGGTTAATAGTTTTTTCCTGGCCTAGGTCAGGTATTTGGTTTTGGTCCGAAACCTCATTTATAAGATGTGAAAGATAAGGGTTTCAGCCCTTTTTTTTAAAAAGAGTAAACTAATTTAAAAATTTTCATCATACTCTGGTTTTTCAGACTAGTATCCATACTAGGTAATGTCAGTTTGCTTTTTTGTGAGGTAGTTTCTGGTGAGAAGTTTGGCTTCCAGCACCTCTAAAATGGGTTCTGTGGGAAAGTATATCGGACTGAACTTTTTTAGTATCATAAAATTACATGAGCTATATTTTAGTTGTAAGTAGTTTGTTTTAAAAAGACTTAAAATAGTATTTAGTTTTGATAGCATTTTGTAAAATGAAAACTTGCCTTTTCTCTAATTTAATGGAATTGGATTCTGCATAAAAATCAGATTTCTTCTTTGCTCTCATGCTAGTCATGTCTGCTTTTTAATAGAAATTTATACTGTTACTTGAAAAAAATCATGAGGCCTGTCTTCAGTATTCAGTTTAATTTTTGCTACCTGTTAATTTGAGTTAAAAAGCATGGTGTGTTTGAACTATTTTTGAGCTTACTGATGTAATATGTATAATTAGTGATCCTGTTTTTGTGGCTAAAGCCTTGGTGCATTATTTCTATTAAAACAACTTTGTTATAGTAGATTATATTTTAGTGAGCAGCTTATAGATATAAAGCATTCCACCGGAGTCTTTGAACCAAACTATCAATTAATGTTTATTCGTTGTTCTTGAATTAAGCTGCTTTGGGATAATTTATAAAATCACTCTTTTTCAGAAGAATATACTCACCAATAGTTAGAAACTTGTGGTATTTAGCTTTTATGATTTTATGTACATCTTGAGATTGCAGTCCCCCTTGCTAAACTGTTGCTGATCTGTAACTGTAACAAAGCTATTACATTATGGTGTTAATATCCAGCACAAAGCAGTTAAATAAAATAAATAGCATGTTATCTTTATCTCCAAAGGCATTATATTGTACTTCTAGCAAGTGCACCAACAGAAAAACAACGCCTAGAATGGTGAGTATAAGATTAGACTTTACAGAGAAAATAAGCAAAAATCAATCAGATAGCTACAGAACACAGCAGATGGGAGAAAGTTTGTCCTCCCATCCAGTCTGGTTTTATTCATAAATGGAACTTTACTACTTGTAATGGAAGTGTAGGAATTTGGGGATCTGTATACAACTTTGTTTTTTGTTTCCCTTACGGAGATCCATGTATCATTAACTATATTTAAAGTGCTTTGTTTTAGCTTACTGATTTTTTTCCTTTAAATATTTGCAGGGATGTCTTTTGTAACCTTCTTAGTTTGAAATGTGGCTTGATTATCCTTCCTCCGTTTTTGCTTCAGCATTTTTGTTTAGAGCCTAAGACTGGTTTTATCTATGGGAGTTCAGATGGTTGAACTGCCCTCACATGTATTTAAGTATGATCTTCATATTACTGCTTTGTGCAACATATTTTGACTTTGTGCATTTTATTTTATTTTTTAAATTAACCAGAATTTTCATTAATACTAAGTGACATTTGTTCAGGGTGGGCTTGGTGGAGTCAAAAATCCGAATCCTGGTTGGAAGTTTGGAGAAGAATGAATTTATTACACTGGCTCATGTGAATCCCCAGTCATTTCCAGCACCCAAAGAAAATCCTGACAAGTAAGCAGTCTTCTAATTTAATCTAGTTTCCTTCTCTCCTTTTTAACTTTTACTCATAGAAGCTTTCTATAGGCAGTTTTTAATAACTAGAGTCACCATTCTGTTGATCACATATGGCACAAAACCAATTTGAGATTAGTAGATTAGGTTTTCCAGATCAGAAACACTGAAGAGACAAATTATTTCTTGAGAAAAATCAGTACTAAAATAGTTCTCTGATAATAGTCTAATGATGGTACCTATGAACTAATTAGAGTTCAAATTCTGCATATCTGCCTTTTAGCATTTCTTAAAATTTCTTTCTTCTCACCCATATTATACAGTGGTTGTCAGAATAACTGCTATCCCAAATATGTCTTGCTTTTCATCTTAACTTTTTATTTTTTTTTTTTTAAAGATTTTATTTATTCATTTGAGACCGAGAGAATGAGAGAGAGAGAGAGCATATGAGAGGGGGGAGGGTCAGAGGGAGAAGCAGGCTCCCTGACGAGCAGGGAGCCCGATGCGGGACTCGATCCCGGGACTCCAGGACCATGACCTGAGCTGAAGGCAGTCGCTTAACCAAATGAGCCACCCAGGCGCCCTCATCTTAACTTTTTAAAAGAGAGAACATGCTTTCAATTTACCTTGCAAAAAATCTGATTTGTGATAGATTCTGAAACACTGGGAAGATCTGTTAATAAAAGGCTCACATTATTCTTTTAAGGGTCTTTCATAGGTCAATTTCTGGTTCAGTTGTTGCTGTATTATTATTTGTGTGAGATTCTGCTTTGCATTTGGAAGGTGAGGGGAGTTTTAGTAATGAGCTTTTTAAAAAAATAAAGTAGCATTAAAGAAAGATTGAAAAGTACAGGCGAATCGATTATTTGAGATTGTGCTGCAGTGGTACAGCTGTTACTCTGATTTGTTGGTACAGGTTGTTTCCTTTTGCAGTCCTGTCAAAAGAGTTGTTATTTGAGCTTTTTATAATTTTTTGTTTCTGCAGTCTTAATTATTAAAAGACTGATCCATTCAGCATATAGATTATTAAATGTTCAAAAGTAGCTGAATCACCCATTGTTCCTATTATTACGCTGTAGTCAAATTACTGTTCATGTCATCTTTTCTTCTTTTTCTTTTTTTAAAAAAAGATTTATTTATTTTAGAGAGAGAGAGCAGGGGTAGGGGGAAAAGGAGCAGAGGGAGAAGGAGAGAGAAACCCAAGCAGATTCCGTGCTGAGTGCAGAACCCAACACGGGGCTCAATCCCATGACCCATGGACCCATGAGATCACAACCTGAGCCGAAACCAGGAGTTGGATGCTCAAACCGACTGCACCACCCGGGCGCCCCTCATGCCACCTTTTCGACTGAGTTTTAAAATTTTAAGGAATATATATTAAGTTCTAGTTAAAATTTTATGTCTAGAATAAATTTTTTTTTCAGATTTTTCTAAAATGCGTTGTTCCTTTTCCCTTGTTAGTTTGAACATAATTTTTGTTGTGCCTTTGGTACTTTGGGATCATCATTAACATTGGCTGTTGGTACCCTGCTTAGGATTAGGAATATGAAGGACAAAAAAAAAAAGGAATATGAAGGACAGGCATGGGGGAGGACTTGGAGTTCTGATGGAGCTTTGGTTTAGAACTTAGTTTGCTTATACATTTGTATTCCAAGTTTTTCCACATACCTCAGGTTGTCAACCACATTGATAACGTTTTCATGAAGTCTTGATAAACTAGTAACACTTTTCTTACTTTGCAGGGAAGAATTTCGCACGATGTGGGTGATTGGGTTAGTGTTTAAAAAAACAGAAAACTCTGAAAATCTCAGTGTTGATCTCACCTATGATATTCAGTCTTTCACAGATACAGGTATATCTCTCCTTGGATGATCAAAACACGTAACTTGCATATTTAAATTTGTCTTCATGTGTACCATAGTGACATTTGCAATAACTGTTAATTTACTTGGGAATATTGAACAGTGATTATCAGAATAATTTTAATGTTTTGGATTAGTTACTAGTTTCAGTAATGTCTAATATATAAGTGGGTTTTTTTGTGTGTGTGATTTTATTAAAGCACAGGGGCAGGACCCATGGGCAGAAAGAGCTGCCATAAATGGTTTTAGTTTTGTTTTGTATTGTAGATTTAAAGTTAAGTAGGACCATTCTAAATTTGTTCACAGTTATTTATGAAATTAGAAACCATCTGAGTATTTGATTGTGTAAAAGACTGAGTCTGTGTCTGACTGCCTCAGTAATCTTGAAGCTTCGACGTTTACATAGCTAGACTTCTGGTGATGTGAGGAAATTTTATTCTCTGTGTCAAATACAGACTCAAGTGTTGATTCACGGGTATAGGGTGATTAGAGCTATATTTCAGATTGACCTATACCCTGAGAGATAAAACTGAGTTATAACAGTTTATCTAAAGAACAAATGGGTGTAGTTCACAGAAGTGAAGGCTATATATAGATGCACAACTTTTCAAGGGAATGGTGAATATGCATAGAGACAGTGATGAATATACAGGTCCAGTGACGAGAAGGCATACTTACGTAGTCAGGCAGTTGCACCTGTGTGTGGAATCACTAGCAGTCTGACATCTGGGAGCTGCTCCTGATTAGGTGCTGTCTGTTGGGATTCTGACCATCAGCAGCCTTGCTGTTGGTGATTCAGTGGCAGTTAAAGTTTCAAATGAAACAAGATCAACTCTAAATGAGACACATGGTAGTTGCCTTCTTGGAAAATTCAGATTAAAAATACTCTATTTCTTATGAAAAATTGAGTTGCTTTCTTTCAAATAACTGATAATTTATAAGTAGGTTTTTCATTTTTAGGAATATAAGTGGAGAATATGGCACAATTCTTTATGGTGAGGAACATTGAAGGATAGTGTCCCCAGCAAGTAGTAACCCTTAATAACCGTGAGAGCAAAAACACTCATAGATTTTTTAGGATGTGATTTGGAGGGTGGTAACTCCACTTGCTTAATGCCACAGAAGTGTTTTTTTCCAGAGTAAAAATTCTGATGTCAACTTAAACTATAAACTAAGAAATCATGTAGAGATATTTGAATTAGAAAATTTGTTTTGTGCATTTCATCTCAGTTGAGTTTATCAAAGACTGTGCTAATGAACCATCAAGATTTTCAAGGAACTTTTATTTTGGGAGGGAAATGTTTAGTTGTCCTGGGCCTTGAAACATTTTAATGGAATACTTTGTGGGATTTTCTTTTTTCTTTCTTTTTTTTTTAATATTTTATTTGAGAGAGCCAGAGAGAGCGTTCGTTGTGCATAAGCCCACACAGGTGGGGGGGGAGGTGCAGGTGGAAGGGGAGAAGCAGGCTCCCCACTGAGCAGAGAGCCCCACTCGGGGCTCCATCCCAGGACCCTGAGATCATGACCTGAGCGAAAGGCAGATGCTTAACTGATTAAGTCACCCAGGTGCCCCCTTTGTGGGATTGTCTTTTTCTTTTTTTTAAATTAATTTATTTTTATTTAAATTCAATTAACATACAATGTATTACTGGTTTCAGAGGTAGAGGTTAGTGATTAATCAGTCTTTTATAACACCCAGTGCTCATCACATCATGTGCCTCCTTAATATCCATCACCCAGTTAGCCCATCCCCCTACCCCTCTCCCCTCCAGCAACCCTCAGTTTGTTTCCTATGCTTAAGAGTCTCTTTTGGTTTGTCTCCCTCTCTGATTTCGTCTTGTTTTCTTTTTTTCTCTCTTCCCCTATAATCCTCTGTTTTGTTTCCTAAATTCCATGTGTCAGCAAGATCATCTGATAATTGTCTTTCTCTGATTGACTTATTTCGCTTAGCATAACACCCTCTAGTTTCATCCAGGTTGTTGCAGATGGGAAGATTTTATTTATTTTTTTTTTTGGTGACTGAGTAGTATTCCATTGGATATATATACCACATCTTTTTTATCCATTCATCTGCTTATGGACAGCTGGGCTCTTTCCATGGTTTGACTATTGTGGACATTGCTGCTATAAACAATGGGGTGCAGGTGCCCCTTTGGATCACTACATTTGTATCTTTGGGGTAAATACCCTATAGTGCAATTGCTGGGTCTCCGGTAGCTCTATTTTCAACCTTTTGAGGAACCTCCATGCTGCTTTCCAGAGTGGAAAAGTGAAAGCCAGCTTCATTCTTTGTGGGATTTTCAATACTCAAATTCTTAACTTCCAGTCTCTTCCAACTTCACATCTTTCTGATCTCAGGTATTGGTGGCTATATCCCTGTAGTTGTTCAAGCTAGAAATCTTGGAGTCCTCCTTGACTCCTGTTTTTCTCATAACTTGATGTTAATGCATTAAAAAATCCTTTTGCCTCTACTTTTGCTATCCATTGAGATTTCTGCTACTAATTGCTATTTCTACTGCTATTACACTAGTCCAAGCCATTTGTCATTGCTCCGTTGTATTACTCCCATTACTACAGTTTCTCTGGCCTGTCCTAGCCCAGCTATTAATGGGATAATTGTTATTCTCAGCCAGCATCCAAAATGATATTAAGCCAAATCATGTCTTGCCTACTTAAAGCCTATAATGGCTACCAATCTCTTTTGGAAAGTTCAAGTCCTTCCTTACTGTGGTTTGCAAGCTTTTACCTAATCTGGTCTTCTCATTATGTCTGTGGCCTCATTTCCTGTTATAAGTTCAAAATCCTTTATTCCATATGTCTTGGGGCCAGAAAGGTAATAAAATTAGTAAGTAAAATTCCTAGTGGGGCTTGGAGCAACATTTGGTAGTCAGCAACAGTAACATTTCTTCAGGGAACTGTTCAGGATTCACATTAAGCAAAGGTAGAGACCAGGGGAGGGGGGTGGGAGGATGGGTTGGCCTGGTGGTGGGTATTGAGGAGGGCACGTTCTGCATGGAGCACTGGGTGTTGTGCTCGAACAATGAATCATGGAACACTTCATCTAGAACTAATGATGTAATGTATGGGGATTAACATAAGAAAAAAAAAAAAGGTAGAGACCAAATAGCCACAAATAGGTGAGATCAGGGTTAGTTTTTGTCAGATGAGTTTTGGTGCCAATTATAGGAAGAACTTATGTGTCGGGAGCATTTGGGATTTTAGAATTGCTCTTAAGGGATTATGGATCTTGACTTTTCCTTCTCCCCAGTGGCCTTTTTGTTTACTTAAATATTCCAGACATGCTCTCAACTGAGGACATTTTGTCCTTGACCTTGGATCTTCCTGGAATGCGGTTCCATCAGTTATTTTTGCTTATTACTTCACTTTCATTTCGGTCTCCACTCTCTCATGTCCTCTCAGTTTCTATGCTGAGCTTCTTGTCTTCTTCCCTACTCAGTTTTTTCCATAGCACTATCATCATCTGATACGAAATATATTTTACTTCGTTGTTTCCTCTTTATTGTATTGTCCCTACTAGAATGTAGGCTCTGAAGTTCTTTTGGTCTCTTAATTCTCTGCTGTATCCCCCGTGTGATACAGTATTGGTGCTCAGTAAATAATTTGTTACATGACTGAGTGAATGGATTTTTCCATTTCGGGATTCTCTGGGAACTTACTTGGATGAATTTATTTTTAGCATTTTCTTTTTGTTCCTGTGACCTCTATTATTTGAGTTATTCTGTAAGAGAAGATGTTAACTACTTGTCTTAAAGTTTTATCCTGCAGGTTCTTGAAAAGGTATCTTTGGGTTTAGTCAGTAAGTTTGACTTTTGCTACATTTGTTACATAATTGAGCCAGAATTTTAAATAATAGTGGTAGCACAAAAGGGTATGAAGAAGCCCTTTTTTTTTTTCCAGTTCTGCTTCTTAAAGAGTTACTCTTCAAAGTTATTATCTTAAGAGTAATTAACTGGAAGAGTTAGTATACTTTGTGCTTTTATTCATTATATAGACCTTGTGGTAAAAGGTACTTAAGAGTTTGCTCAGGCAATGGATTATGTCAGATTAGAATTTTGGCCTGATAGTTTTATGCACAGGATTGCTAGAAAAGGATCCCTACTTAGAATAGCTTCTCCTAGGTGAGTTTAACTGCCTTTGTTAAAATGTTTCTATTTCTTGTAACAATTTCCTAATTGTGTAGTTTATAGGCAAGCAATAAACAGCAAGATGTTTGAGGTGGACATGAAAATTGCTGCAATGCATGTAAAAAGAAAGCAACTCCATCAACTACTACCTAATCATGTTCTTCAGAAAAAGAAAAAGGTAAATTTAGAAAGTACTTACAAAAGCATTACTAACATAGTGTTTTTACTGTATTCAATCTATCAATACTTCAACATTTAGACTCAGTTTAAGTCATGCTTGAAGTAGATCACAGCATTTTAAAAATCAGTTCCAGGGAGCAGTTCCATTATGTGAAACCTTGCTCCCAGTCGCGTTTCTTGCATGTACTTGCACACCTCAGATAGATTAGTGGTGATGCTTCCTATCCTTATTTTATGTAAGCTTATGGTCTCTTTCAGAGTCTTCTGTTCTTATCCGTTTAATACCCACATCAGTATCTAATTTCCTTTCCTTTAAAAAGTAAACTAGGTAATATGTGGATAAATTAATTATGTGACTTTTTATAAAAATGGCTTTGTTTTGTTAAGAATTATAGATGTGTATTATTGAAAAATTAAGTTATTGAATATAAAGATCACAGACAGGTGATCAGAGTTAATATTTTGTAGAATGTCGTTCTGGTAATAGTGCTTCCTGTTGAATAACTTACAGCCATATTTTTCTTATTTAGACTTACTATAAAGGACATATTAGAATTTTAGTGCATAGATGATAATTACATTTTTATATGTGATTTCAAGAATAGGTGGCTTATTTCTATAATGGAATATACACTGCAGTGAAAATGAATGGATTAGAGCTACATCTATTAATATGTTCATTTAAAAGGTTCTGATGAATATGTACTATTTAATAATTTTATATAAGGTTTACAAGTTTAAAAGATGTAAAACAATATATTATTTAAGAGAATATGAAAGAAAAGTATAGCATATATTATGGTACAAGCATCTAAGTCAAGGACAAGAACTTTGGAGTAGATAAAGCTGGTTCAATTTCAGGTTCCACTGCTTCCCAGCTGTGAGACTTGGGCCAGCCATATCATGAACATCATGTTCTTGATTTGCTTCTTCTCTAAAATTAGGATAATATATTTACCTACCTCATTAGATATTTTGTGAGGATGAAATGAGTTAATACCTATAACAAGGTGGTTTTGGCTGGTGCTTGGCACATAGCGAATGCTCGTATTTGTTTCTGTTATCACCATGACTTGGGGTAGAGGTACTTGGTTTTTTATATTGGTCTAAAATGCAGTTTTAAAAGGCATTTTTGTTTTTAAGGTAACTTAGTACATTAAAGCTTTTATGTGACTTGTGTCTCTCATCCTAATGCTTTTATGAGTTAACTAAATAATCTAGAAAGTGGCAAAAAGGTACTGATCTTTTCTCAAGCCATTTTATTTATTTGTAATAAAATATACATAAAGTTTGCCATTGAGTAATTTTATTTTTAAACTAAAATGTCATGCCAGACATTTGTCTTCTGATTGTCCCTTGGTGTTATTAATAAGTTTAAGCAACCATACTTAAATGTGTATTTACTACATGTAAAAATACATAACCATTTTATGTGTTTTCAGAAGTCAATGTAAATAGGTTGTTATGTTCTTTAATACTTAACCTATTTCTATTTTATTAACACGTCTATTTATAACTGAGGTTATTAGATTTTCCAGAATCCTTGATCCTCAGATTACCTTTTAAAACTCCTATATATATATGGTATTGTTGATTTTTGAAACAAAGTATAGTTTAAATAAATTTTATTTTTATTCTATTAAGGTATTACCTATCTAAATATAATCTTCTAGAAATAAAAATTATTAGTGTTCAGAAATAACTTTAGTCCAGACATTTTATCAAATAAAGCTTAACTGTACTCTCATCACCGTGTAATCGCTACTTTTCACCTTTCAGTGTGTGTTTCTACATAGACTATTCGGTGCCCATATGTAACCACATATCATATGTATTTTTAAAAGGTTTTTGATGGTACATACCCTTTTGTGACCTGCTCTTTGGGTGTTTATTATGTGTCCAGATTACATTACATTACAGATACTATGTGGCTGCTTAGTATTTTTTTAAATGGCTACAGTATGATTATATCTGTCCTTTATTTGACATCATTTGGACTAGTTCTAAGTTGCTGCTAGTAAAATAGCACTTTCTTGTTTTCAGTAGTAGTATCTAGAAATCTAGATCCATGAATCTTTTCTCTTAGACTCTTATTAATAGCTTCCTTTTAATAACTGCTATTTGCAAAGCCCTGTACGAATGTTTTTCTATATTTAATGATAAAACAACCCACAGATATTGTCTTTTATAGAAGAAACCAAGTGGCTGATAAACTTGCCCATGGTTTTATAGTAGGAGATGTGAATTGGACCTAGGTCTCAGTGCAAAGCGTATGTGTTTATTTCTCTCTGTAGTATGTTCTGTCTTTATTTATCTTTAATTTGAAAATGTGGATAAAACATTTATGATGGCTTGGCATTGAAGTCTCTTGTGCCAAACTTGATATAGACAAAGGCAAAGCAGAGCAACTGTTTTGTGTTCAAACCAGCTAGTTAAAACCTTCGGGTTCACAGATCATCCTTAGCAGTGGCCTGTTGTCTCACAGGTGTTTGATCACCTGGTCAGGCAGGTAACTGTGTAGAATTAGTAAAATTTAGTTACTGTACAAATCCTTGTCTGGTGGAGAGTGAAATTCGTAGCATTTTTGCATAGGAAAGAAGCTCATTAGAAAATTCATTTCACAACTGACTTCATAAACAAGTGGCATTACTTTCTCTTCCTCTCCATCCTGCCAAATCTCATCTTCCCCATTTGATCAATATTGATTTATGTACAGAAGTAATGTCTGTAGTGCTAGATAAAGAATGTCTTGTCATTTGGGGAACTAGAGCGCGCGCATGCGCGCGTACACACACATAGACACACACACGGGATATGGGTTTTTGTCAACAATGCAGTCATTTCCATTAAAATGTTTCTGTAGGTAAGTGGAGCACCAAGGCCTAAAAGTATTCTGGAAAAAAACCCTGAAGAAATCAATTTGATATTGCAATACTATTGATTGTAGAAACAGAAACTAAGTTCTTTAGAAATCAACTTTCATCCCATAGAAACATTCGTAGTTTAAGCTTTATTTTGGTTTTCCTATATTAAGTAACATTTTGAGTGCTTTGATTTTTAAGAAGCAGGACTAGCATTAGGATTTACATGTGGATATTAGATTTCACTTTCAGGAAATTATTTCTGCTTCTATTTTCACACGGTAATTTATACTATTAGATGTACCATGTTAAAATTCTAAGTTGGCAGTCAGAGCACCAGAAATTCTTGGTTTTGAGAGAGACTCATTTATTTATAGATTTTTAGAAGTGGTACTACGCTGTACTTATTTGATAGTTGTTTTGACATTACACAATTTTATGTTCACTGTAGAATAATTAAAAATTGATTTAAAAAAATTGGTCATAATCCCAAAAGCCAGATATATTCATTGCTAGTATTGGGTTTATCATTAAGACTTTTTTCCTAATATATATGTGTGTATGTGTCTGTATATATTTATAGTTATCTGATTTAAGATCCATGTGTTTTCACATTACAGTGCTTTTTAGCGTGCAGCGTGTCTTGTGGAAAATGTGTACATTTAATATAGCATTCCTTTCTCCTTTTTTCTCCCATGGAAGAACTGTAGTGTAGTCAGGCCTCTTAGAAGTCTTTACCTTATAAGTCAGCATGACATTTCTGAGTTTTCATGAACTTAGTGATTTATGCTTTGTAGTAGAAATCATATATCAAAGTAAAAGATGTTCATGTTTCAAAGATCTGGGTGAAATAAAGATATATTTGACTAAATATCTTATTAATTGCAGCATTCAACAGAAGGTGTCAGATTGACGCCTCTGAATGACAGCAGCCTCGACTTGTCTATGGACAGTGATAACAGCATGTCTGTGCCTTCACCTACTAGTGCTATGAAGACCAGTCCATTGAACAGTTCTGGCAGCTCTCAGGGGTAAGGAAAGCGAGGGAATGAAGTGGAGTGGCTGTTCACTAAACGTATTTGATGAACTCTCTTGTTAGAGTCATCTATTTAGAATATTTATTCCCCTTTTAATTTTTTAAAAATAGCAATTAAACTTATTTTGGGGGAAAATAATTTCTATTTTTGTCCTATTGTGTCGTACTTGTATTCCGTTTTTGGGACAGGTGTATCTTAATTCAGATACGAATGAATGTCAGCACCGTAATCCCTCATTTCACATACAGATGGTCCCTAACTAACGTGGTTTGACTTAAGATTTTTTGACTTTACAGTGGTGCAAAAGCAAAAGCAGTACACAGTAAAAACCATACTTTGACGTTTGAATTTTGAGCTTTTCTGGGGCTAACAGTATACCGTACGATAGTCACTTGCGGTGCCTGACAGCGAGCTGCAAGCGCCCCGTCAGCCCTGCGCTCATAGGTCAGCAGCCGCTATGCCGACACCCATTCTGCTCCCATGCAGCCCTTCCATTTTTCACTTTCAATACAATACTCGATAAATCACATGAGATAGGCAACACTTTATGTTGAAATAGGCTTTGTGTTAGGTGATTTTGCCCAGCTGTAGGCTAATGTAAGTGTCCTAAGCATGTTTGAAGGAGGCTAGGCTAAGCTGTGATGTTGGTGATTATGTGTATTAAATGCATTTTCGACTTAAGGTATTTTCAATTTATGATGGGTTTAATGGGACGTAACCCCATCTTAAGAAAGCTCTGTATTGAGGCTTCTGCTGCCTCCAGTGAACTGTATGGTATGCTAGGGAGAATGGACAAGAGGGATAAAATCACCTTTCTGTCCCGGAGCCGCTTACATCTGTGTAGCAGGGGAACAAATCTGTGGACATACAAGGGGCCTACTAAGGAAGGTGAAGGTCTTTGTGGGATGGTCTTAGTTATAGGAACCTTTTTTTTTTTTTTTAAGAATTAAGTGTCTTTGAAAACATTGAACACAGATAAACATTTTTGTTATGAAAGAAATACATGGCTATAGTGGCAAAAACTAGAACACAAAAAGCCATATTTATGTTTAACCTTCTATAAATTTTTCCAGTGTATCCTTGCAGAATCTTTTTTTTTTTTTTTAATGGAAATACTAGGGTATCTTCAAAGGGATTTGTATAGAAGCCTTTTGTACTTTGAGTTTATGCACATGCATGTAAAATAGTAACTATGTATTAAGTAATTTCAGAAGTTTAAACAATGTTAGTTTCTTATGTAATACTAAATAACTTCTGTAAGTAAGACTTCCGGATTTTAAGTTTACAGTTGTATATTTGCTTAGCAGATTTTCAGTATTTATTATGCACTAGCCATTTTGCCAGCTATTTCTGGTTTTCTTCCTGGATCTGTGGTGGTTCTCTGGCCAGCTCTCCCTTTCTGTTTAAGTCATTAGATGTGTGTGCCCTTGAGGGCGCTCTCCACGGTACTTGTCCCCGCTTGGTATTCTCCCTTGGGGGAGTGGGATCACCTGCCCTTGTTGACTTCATTTACTTCTATGTACCAGTGAACTCCAAAGCTTTTTCAAAAAAATTTTTTTTTAAAGATTTATTTATTTGGGAGAGCACGAGAGGAAGAGGGAGAGAGAGAATCAAGCAGACCCCGTACTGAGCACAGAGCCCAACACGGGGCTCAATCCCAGGACCCCGAGATCGTGACCTGAGCTGAAACCAAGTGTCGGACACTTAATCGACTGAGCCACCCAGGCACCCTGTGAACTCCAAAGCTTTAATAAGCTGATTGCCCTGGTTGTGTGCAAATGTCTTGCAGGCACCAAAAGTCTTAAGTCCTTTCGTGTCGCCACCTTGTCATGGCGTCATTGTTCCACAGTTGCAGAGTGTGAGCTATAGCCGAGGGAGCAAGAATAACCACAGAGGACTTTTTGCTTTTATTTTTCTTTCAAGGGGTAATTAAAATGAGATTATTTAACTGCGATAGGATTTATCTGAGACAGAAATGTTGAAGAAATAGGAGAGTAAAGGATGGATGATTTGAGTTTCCTGAAATGACAGGAGGGAGTGGGATCCAGCACATAGAAGAGGAGGGATGGCTTTGAAAGCCTTTGTTGTGTATCTGGGCCACTGGGTGGTTTTTAGGGTGTCACAAATCCTTAGATTTTATATGCAGAAGCTTATTTCTATTTTTCAGACCATTTTCTTATTTATAGCCTTTGATGGAATTTTCTTATACCCCAAATCCATTAAGTCTATTCCCCCAAATCAGATACAGATTGTTTTTAAAACTGTCCTGTTTAATATGCTAGTCACTTGGGGCGCCTGGGTGGCTCAGTTGTTTAAGCGACTGCCTTCGGCTCAGGTCATGATCCTGGAGTCCTGGGATCGAGTCCCGCATCGGGCTCCCTGCTC